CCTTTTCCTCCCCGCCCCTTTCCCTCACACCCCTTTTCCCATCTACAGGAGGTCTGCCTCCCTGCTTCCTGTCCTTTCTCCTTTGTTTTGCTCTTTATTTCTGTTTTGGGCTTCTCATATGAAAGAAAACATGCGATAGCAGTTTTGCATCTTAACATTATGGTTTTGATCCATCCATTTTCCTGCGAGTGCCATGAGTTCCGTTTTCCTTATGGCTGAGTCAGACCCCGTTCTGCTTGTACATCTCTTTATCCAGTCACCCGGAGGGGGCCTCCACTGTCCAAAGAGCAAGGCTGCCTTGCACCTCTCTGCAGGTAGCACCTCCTGTGGGTTTCTGTGTTCCGTGGAGACCCAGGAGAAGGGGAGCTGAGGTGACTGGGAGTTTTGTTTCCAGGATTCTGAGGAATCTCCAAAGAGGTTTCCACAGTGGCTGCACTAGTTTACACTACAACCGGCCACATGGAAGGGTTCCTTTGTCCCACAGCCTCCCAGCGATTGTTTCTGAGTTCTGTATGATGGCCATTCTGAATGGAGTAAGGTGGGATCTCAAAGTGGTTTTCTCTTGTGTGTGTTTGTTTTGTTTTTGAGACAGGGTTTCCTCATGTAGTTCCGGCTGACCTTGAACTCACTGTGTAGCCCAGGCTGGCCTCAAATTCACAGTGATCTTCCTGCCTCAGCCTTCCAAGTGCTGGGATGAGAGGTGTGTGCCACCACAGGCTAATAAAGTGATACTTGATAAAAGTTTTAATGAAGGTTTTCTTATTAACAGTGTGAATTACAGTATTTGAAATTTTTATAAAACGCAATCCCTGGCTTTTGCGGGTTTTCAGCATTCACTTAATCAGTATTTGATATGGGCCTCCTGTGAAATGAGTTCTGTGCTTCGAGCCAAGTATCCAATAGGAAAATAAACGTAAAGGAGTTACTAACCCTCATCACATCCTTACTTTGAGCTACTGAGGAGGTTAAGAAATATACCAGTGTCCTGGCCCAGTAATAACTAGTTTCTGAGGGAAAAAGGAAGTAAGGAAAGAAGGAAAGACAAAGCCTTTATAGAAAGGAACCAAAACAACCAAAAAGGTAGAGGGGAATGCTGGACATCAAGGGTCACACCGGTAATCCCAGCACTCCGGAGGCTGGATCAGGAAGATAACAGTAAATTGGAGGCCAGGCTGAACTGTACAACATATGCCTCAAACAACCTAAAAGAAAGAAATAAAATGAAGGATGGAATGGCTAGGTTAAGACAGTCAAAAAGTAACCAGTTTCTAAATTTGGGGTTTGTTGTTTTTGTACTGGGGTTTGAGCCCAGGGCCTTCATGCTGAGTTACATCCCCAGCCCTTTTTAAAATTTTTTAATATAAATTATGCTAAATAGCCCAGATTTGGCATAAAGGCTGAAATTTGCCATCCTCCTGCCTCAGCCTCCCAGACTGCTGGGATTACAGGCCTTTACCACCTTATCTGCCAGTCTCTTTTCTTGCTTTTTTTCATTTACATTAAGTTCAACCTGTTAATTACAACTCCTGTGTAGAAGTCTTCAGCAGTCCTCCACTCCCAGAAGTGATGCATAGTGGACACACTGTCTTTGAATGAGAATCGAATGTTACTAGCACCTCCAAAACATCCTTCATGTTCCTTCTCGGTCCATGCTACATATCAGAACAACCATGCTCCTGCTCCCTAACATTAGGGATTGATCTTGTTTGTATTACAATGTATTATATAAAGAATTCTCAGAGTGTTTCCCCCTCTCTCTTTGACTCAACACTGTAATTATGAGATTAATCCACCATGTGTTTAATTATAAATCATTCTCATTGCTAAGTAATATTCTATTATTGTGAATAATTGAAAGGTATTAGGCCATTTTCTTGGTGATGAAATTTTGGTTGCTTCTGGTTGGAAGCAGCTATGAGTCATGCTGCTGACTTTGGAAAATGCAAAAGTGCATTTCTAGTTAGTGTGGAACTGGAAGCGAAATTTCTATATTGTGGATGTATGCACATTTTCGGCTTCTGTTGATTGTAATATTTTTCCAACGTAGTTAACTTTTAAAAATTAATTAAATTTTACTTTTTGGTTTTTTTTTTTTGAGACAAAGTCTCACTGCGTAGTTCAGGATGGCCTCAAACTCCAGGTAATCCTCCTGCTTCAGTCTCCTGAGGACGGAATAATAGGCGTGCACCATTATGTACACCTTCAATATTATAAACACAATATATGAAGAGTTCCAGTTTTGCATTTGATATTTTGTACCTTTATTATTTTAACAGTTTTACTGAGAATGTGGTGCCTCTTCTTAAACCTCTTTTCTCTCCCTTTTTGTTTTGTTTGTTTTGGGTTTTTTTGTTGTTGTTTTGGTACCAGGGATCAAACTCGGGTCCTTGCGCTTGCAAGGCAGGCAGTGGAACTGGAACCACTGAGCCAATACCCGGCCCGGCCCCTTGTTTTGTTTTGTTTTGCTTTGTTTTGAGACCAGGTCTTGCTATGTAATTCAGGCTGGCCTTGAACTCACCCCATTGTATGGCCCAGGCTGGCCTCAGACTCATAGCGATCCCCCTGTGTCAGCCTCCCCAGTGCTACGATTACAGGCGTGCGCCACCACACTTAGCTTCTCAACCGCTTCTGCCTATTATTTTTTTTGTTTGTTTTAAATAAGAAACACATAACATGAAAATTGCTATCTTACCCCCCTGCCCTTGTGGACTGGTGGTTGAACTGAAGGCTTTGGGCTGCCAGGCAAGTACTCTGCCTTTAAGCTCATCCCAGCCCATCCTAGGAATGTACCACCAAGCCCTCTCCGCTGTGACCATTTTTAAGGGTAGAGTTCAGTGGTGTGAAACAGACCTGAAACTTTTTAATTTTACAATCTCAATTCTATCCCCATTATATAACATAACTCTGCTTTCCCCTGATAACCACCAATGTACTTTCTGTCTCTATGATTTTTTTTTTTTTCCTGGTACCAGGGATCAAACTCGGGACCTTGAGCTTATGAGGCAGGCAGTGGCACCACTGAGCTAAATCCTGGCCCTATTCCTGAGAATTTGATACTTTCAGTGCCCTTACATGAGGGCATTCATGCAGTCCTTGCCCCTTTTGCCTGGATTACTGTCCTCAAGATGCATCGGTGCTGTGCACGTGGCAGGATTAAGGATAAATCATATCCCATTGTGTGTATGGGCCGTGTTTTGTTTGCTCACTTTTGGCGGCTGCTTGGGTTGCTGCTATGAACAGGGGTACACGAAGACACCTTCGAGCGCCTCCTCTTGATTCTATATGTGTGTATACCATGAGGTGGGATTGCCCCGGATCTTATTTATGCTCTAATTATAAAGGTTTTCAGAAAATGGATTTGTTTTGTTTTGTTTTGTGATAGGGGAGAGAGAATCTAGGGTCTGTACCCTGCGCTACATCCCGACTCTTTTCTATTTTTTTATTTTTATTTTTTGAGAGGGTCTCACAATGCAGTTCAGTCTGGCCTTGAACTCACTATGTAGCCCAGGCTGACCTCAAATTTACAGCGATCCTCCTGCCTCAGGCTCATGAGCACCGGCATGACAAGTGTGCACTATCAGATCTACAAGGTCTTGCTAAGTCACTAAATTTCTCAGGCTGAGCTTGAACTTGGCCATCCTTCTACCTCTGCCTCCTAGAGATCTGGGATTACAAGTTTGTGCCACCATGCCTGGCTTGGAGGGAGTTTCAAGCAAGGTTGGATGATTTTATGTACTGACATTCCTGTAGATTAATAAACTGTAGAAGCAGTAAACAATATTTTAAATCTGGAAGTCCTTTTATTACCCCCAAGGCCATGAGTTAGTATAAACTGAAAGAATCAATATTTACATTCAAATTTTTATACCAGGAATTATTTAGGATATTGTGCTTGCCAGGCAGGTGCTATGCCACTGAGCTACATTCCCAGCCTAAATTTGTCATTTTCTGCATTCATCAGGTCAGCTGCTCCACCTTAGTTTATTTATATGATGAAAGTTTATCTCATACATTGTTTACGTAGCAGGAAGAATTCACAGAAACCACAGGGTCATTGCTTTGTATATTATTCTACATAGCAAAGCAATTCACTGAAGTGAAGATCTGTAACTTCCTCACGCAGCTAAATTTCACAGTTCAGGTTTATTTATTCATTCATTTATTTTTAGCAGAGCATGGAAGTTTAAGCCTATATTCCCAGTACTGAGAAGGTGAGCCAGAAGGATCACAACTTCAAGTCCCCTGTGGGCAATTTGCAAAACTCTGTCTCAAAGTGAAAAGTAAAAACCAGGCTGGTGGTACACACCTATAATCCCAACACTTGGGAAGATGAGACAGGAAGATCACCAAGAGTTCAAGGCCAGCCTGGGATTAATTAAAGTGCTGGGGATAAAACTCAATAGTAGAGTGTTCCTTGGATGAATCCCCACGGCTGCCTGTATAAATAGATGAATAGAATTTCAATGTTATGTATTGTGATATGAGGGTTCAAACGCAGGGCTTACTGAACTACAGCCTCAAACATGCAATCTTCCTCCTGCTCCAGCCTCCCCAGTGCTGAAGTTCCACTCCTCTATGCCCAGCCTTAATCTGAGCTTTAATATTGGGAATTTTGGGTTCTTTTTATTCAGCTTTGTTTGTCCTATTGTTCACATTTGCGGAAGAACAGAGAATTATTATATTTTGCCAAGTCTTGTTTTCTCTTTTGCAAACCATAGCATTAAAGAACCAAAGCAGGCTCTTCTTTGCAAGTACAGATTTCTCTTCTGCCTGCCTTTTTGTTCATCACGTGAACTGAGACACTTTTCGTGAGGAGGCAAGTATGAGACAGTGGACCATCCCCTGGGCTTAGAGAGGCGTGAACCCCTGGTGATACACGATAGATTTTTTTTTTTTTAAATAAACTGAAATAGAACAGTATGGAGCTTTAAAAGGAGTGCCCATTGCCTTCACACTTAGGATGCTCATTTTCCATAGATAAATACATTCTGCTTTTGCAGGTTATCAGAAGAAGCAGTGAGGAAGAGAAGGTTCTTTGTTTGGTCCGGCAGCGCCCAGGCCACCAGTGCGAGACCGCTGTGATAGTGGTGCTCATCATGTTGTGGGATGGCATCCCGCTGCCGATGGCGGACAGACTGTACACGGAGCTCACTGAGAACCTAAAGTCATACAATGGTCACCCGACAGACCGAAGATGTACCCTCAATGAAAAGTAATCCAATCTGTTTTGTACCGCTTTGAAATTCAGATCTCTAGTGTGTCATGGTAAATTGTTACTTAATTACCAACTCAGTATACATTACATGGGGCCATGGGATTTTAGGTGCTGAGGAGCTAAAAGCAGTCAATATCTCCCCAGAATTTTTGAAACCAGAGTTGCCGGTGCATGGCTCTAATTCCATCACTTGGGACTCTGAGCCAGGAGGACTGTGAGCTCCAGTTCTACCTGGGAAACAGCAAATACCTGAATGGCCTGGGGATAAAGACCAATAGGAAGGACCTGGGTTTAACTCCCAGGACTGCAAGAAACAGTAGTGTTGAGTCACTCATTTCTCTGAGTTGGGGCCACAATTTTGGGGTGGTTCTCTTCCTCCTGCTTAGAGTGCACCCCAGCCCTGAGCTGCAGGGTACCACCAGTCCCTAGGGGATTCTTTACCTGCTTCTCTCTCTGCTACCTAAGCCTATGTACACACAGTAGGAAGGAAAGGGATTTTAACAGAATGTTCCTTCTAAAGGTCTAGCCGCATCCACATTTTTTCTGTTCATAGTAAGTGATTAGGTGTTTTCCTATGTTCTTCTGATAAATGTGTTGTCAGAGTTGAGTTTTGGGCCAGTTAATAGGGTAAAGGCACAGGTATGAGTATGATTGCGTTCTAATTATTTATGGTGAGACTTTTTCCCTAGTTCAGAGTCACCGGCCAGTCCTTTATTGTCTCTTTCCTTTTAGAAGGGTCGAGCAGAGGTTGGCATCTGTTCCTTTGGCTGATATTTAACTAGAAGATCACTGTGTCCTCCGAACATAGCCTCTTGAGTGCTGGGATGGTAGATCTGGGCCTCCACACCGACCCTTTCTTATCCTCTCTGTCAATCATCTGTTAACTATTCTAGCCCACTTTTCTAAAGAGTTGATGTTCATTTCATCTTCATTTTTATATACTGGGACTAATGAAGCCTTTGTCCAGGCTGTCATTTGCAAATACTTTTCCCAGCTTGTCCTTACACTTTTTGCTATGCCATCTTTTACAAAAGTTTCCTTAGTAATGCAGTCAAACAGATCTGACCTTATTTGAGTTTGAATTTTAAAAGGTGTTTAGGTATATTTCCCTCTTAGAAGTTATAGAATAATTGACCTATGTTTTCTTTTCTTCTTCTTCTTTTTTTTTTCCTGGTTTTTTGAGACAGGGTTTTACTATGTAGTTTAGACTGACCTGGAATTCAGGCTGGTCTCAAACTCACAGTGATCCTCCTGCCTCTCAGCCTCCCGAGTGCTGGGATTACAGGCGTGTGCCACCATGCCCGGCGACCCGGTTTTCTTTTGGTACTGGGGATTGAACTCCAGACCTTATGCTTGAAAAAGCAGGCGGCGGCACCACTGAGCTAAATCCCCAGCCCTGACCCATGTTTTCTCTTAGTATTTGTTTAAATCATTTTTCCTGTGTGCTGGCAATTACACCTGTGGCTTTGTGTATGCTAACACTGAGTTACATTCTCAGCCCTGTACTATATTTTAATTATCGATAGGCCTGTCAGATGTGGTCACATACGCCTGTGATCCCAGTACTCTGGGAGGCTGAGCAAGGAGGATCCCCAATTCGATCTCAGTTTTAGCAATTTAGCAAGACCTTGTCTCAAAATTTAGAAAGGGCTGGGGCTGTAACTGGATGTGAAGACCCTGGATCGAGTTTCTATTACTGCCAAGTCCCAAAAGGCCACTATTCAAAATATAAGTTAAGGGCCAGGTATTTAGCTCAATTGTTCTGCCATCTGCCTTGCAAGCACAAGGACCCAAGTTCAATCCCCGGTACCAAATATATATATATATATATATAAATATATGTATGTATGTATATCTTGTTCTTCCCAATCTCTACACAAAATTAACATCTGCTAATTAATTTATTCTGTGGAGATACATAACACCTGTTTTGTGAAATTCTTTTTTAAAGGTTATATATTCCTTGATTTATTTAATCTTCCCAATAAGTAAATCCACCAAATTTATAT